TTCCAGCCCCGCGCCCTGCCGGGCCAGCCGCCGTGGGCCCCCGAGAGCCAGAGTGGCACTCGTCGCCCCCCGCTTCTTCACCAGCCTCGAGCGTATCCCTATCCCTAAGATTGACACGCTAAAAGGAGATGACAATCTTAGGGATGCACCCTCAGAAATTGAGGAAATCCATAAGATCGCCATCGTGATGAGGCGATGCCCAACATAAGGAGAGGGATATGTTCCAGGCTGGTAACTTCTGGCCTGGCGCCCAGGGCTGGGAGGTCTGGGCCCCCGGACGCACCTCTGCTGCCGGGGTCGTCGGTCGTGCCCGCCTCGTCCGTCCGCCCAGGTTCGAGCCATGTCTTGGCATCCCTCGGACGTGTGCGAAGAAACCACGCACGAAAATGAAACAAGCACAGGGAATGGACGTCCGAGCGATGGCCAGATGTGCGGAGCTGGACTGGCCGAAGTTTCGAGGCTGGAGGGTTGTTTCCCGATGAGGTGCTCGTGCGTTCCAGGGTGGGGGGGCGTTCCAGCACCTGCCAGGGACAGCCCATCCCGACGAGCGGCTTGAAGGACCAAAGACGGCAGAGTTTTAAGTTTGCGTAAAGGGGTAAATGTCGTGACCAGTGACGTCCCAAGGCGCCTGCGGGTTGCCCGCCCTGAGAGCCTCCTCGGCGCAGCTTGGCAGATTCCAGACATGAGATGTTATTTTGCCAGCTGGAAGCGGCCTCCTAAACAGTTCAACGGAGATTGAGCTCACTGAAAACGAGAGTACTGAAAGGGGACGGCGCTTCGGTGAACACCATCCGTCCAGGGTTTACGTTTGCGGGGGCGCCTTGTTACCTCTGGGTTGAGCCTCGCTTTCCCGGAATCAGTGACCCAAAGCAGATCAGCTTTCTATGCAAATGTGCCGATGGTGCGACCAACTACAGGCCCCCCTCCTAACCCCCCACACGGCACCCCGAGCACCAACCGGAAGACAATGCATGCGAATGCGCCCCTGCCAACTGCATGTTGTTGCGCTCCAGCCACCCCTGCCCCGTGCAATCATAACATTGACTTGCAAGCCGATGGCTCCGTGGGTCAAATTCTTTGCTGGCGTTCGGTATTCTTCACATGTGCTCCAGGATATTGGATCCATGGGGCTTTCACGCAAACGCACATTGGATCCAGACGACAGACAAGTTGGAGCCACGTGACTCTCACACACAAGTACGTGAATAGAATTGGATACATGCGTTTGCATGCAAAAGAGAAGCTTTCGACCCGGGGATGTATGTGGTAGAAAAATGTGATGCAAGCTAGGTGGTACAAACCAGCATCGCCTCGCCCTCGCTTAGATGTGACCAGCTGCAGGCCCGCCTTGGCCCGTGAACCTGCGTTGGGTGAAAACTCGTCCGAGCCTGCAGTGCCCAGCTCATTGCTACGTCTTCCATCCGCTCCCCCTGTCACCTACTTCCGCGCGAGGGCGTCGGTTTGGAATTCGTCTTCGGATTTCCCAGACTCCCCCGAAACGGAACAGAGGGCCTTCTGAGGGATCCTTGGAGGCTCGGGTGGCCGGTTGTCTGAGGATGCCCCACACGAGACCGCCGGTTTGGAATGCGTCGCCACATTTCGAGGATTTCTTGGAAAGAGATAAGGGCGGCGGTTGGCGGGCCCATTCTCTCGCGCGTTGGGGGTCAGGATGACGTTGGTTTTCAAGACAATTCCCTTTCAACAATTCCGATCGTTGGAACAAGATGCGCAAGGGACTCAATCCCGAAGAGACGGGGGCTGATTTGCTTTCTGATACTTTTTCCCGGAAAGGGCTCGAGCCCAGGGTTCTCTTTTAGTTGGTAAACTTGTCCCCCGGTGCCAACTTGAAGGAGGCCGGCGAATTTTTTCCCTGATAAATATCGAGGTCGAAGGAGGCCGGCGAATTAAAATTTGAGGATGTCTCGAGCGAAACGCTTGTTTTTCAGAATTTGTTGAGGATGTCTCGAGCGAAACGCTGGTTTTGCAGAGTTGGGGATGTCTCGAGCGAAACGCTTGTTTTCAGAATTTGCTGAGGATGTCTCAAGCGAAACGCTGGTTTTGCAGAGCCGACTGCGACGCGGAAAAGCGCCCCGCGCGAAGGAATTTCGATGATGTCTCGACTAATTCGTTTGTTTTTCCCGGAAAGGGCTCGAGCCCAGGGTTCTCTTTTAGTTGGTAAACCTAATCCCCCGGTGCCAACTTGAAGGAGGCCGGCGAATTTTTTCCCTGATAAATATCGAGGTCGAAGGAGGCCGGCGAATTAAAATTTGAGGATGTCTCGAGCGAAACGCTTGTTTTTGAAATCCCGATCGATAAATCACAGGGTGCGGGCCACTTTTTCGTGTGTTGAGGATGTCTCGAGCGAAACGCTTGCTCCGCAGAGTTTGCCGAGGATGTCTCGAGCGAAACGCTTGTTTTGCAGAGCCGACCGCGACGCGGAAAAGCGCCCCGCGCGAAGGAATTTCGATGATGTTTCGACTAATTTGTTTGTTTTTGTACGATTTCCTGGAATTTTGGCAGGATGTCTCGAGCGAAATGCACGACCCCACCCTAGCACGACCATACCCCAGCACGACCACACCCCAGCACGACCAGACCCCAGCACGACCCCACCCCAGCACGACCCCACCCCAGCACGACCATACCCCAGCACGACCACACCCCAGCACGACCCGACCCCAGCACGACCCTACCCCAGCAAGACCACACCCCAGCACGACCACACCCCAGCACGACCTCACCACAGCACGACCACACCCCAGCACGACCACGCCCCAGCACGACCACGCCCCAGCACGACCACGCCCCAGCACGACCACCCCAGCACGACCACCCCCCCAGCACGACCACCCCCCAGCACGACCACCCCCCAGCACGACCACACCCCAGCACGACCACTCCCCAGCACGACCACACCCCAGCACGACCACACCCCAGCACGACCACACCCAGTCGCACCCCCGTGGAATGTTTCGTGGCGTGTCTGGTTGAGTGGTTGCCTGTTCGTGGGGTGTCTCGTGGAATGTTTCAAAGGGTGTCTCGTGGAATGTTTCGTGAGGTGTCTCGTGGAATGTTTCGTGAGGTGTCTCGTGGGATGTTTCGCGGGGTGCACGCACGACCACGCCCCAGCACGACCACCCCCCCAGCACGACCACCCCCCAGCACACACCCCCCAGCACGACCACCCAGCACGCACGACCACACCCCAGCACGACCACTCCCCAGCACGACCACACCCCAGCACGACCACACCCCAGCACGACCACACCCAGTCGCACCCCCGTGGAATGTTTCGTGGCGTGTCTGGTTGAGTGGTTGCCTGTTCGTGGGGTGTCTCGTGGAATGTTTCACGGGGTGTCTCGTGGAATGTTTCGTGAGGTGTCTCGTGGAATGTTTCGTGAGGTGTCTCGTGGGATGTTTCGCGGGGTGTCTCGTGGGATGTTTCGTGAGATGTCGCCCAGTTGGGTATCGTGAAAACGTGACCATGCTGCACATGTCTTTATCCCTTTCCGGGTTCGTGGGTCCATCATGTTAGCGTGATGTAATCATGCAGCTTGGCAGTGGTGTTAAAACAAGCCACAGATTTACGAACAGTACGCAGCTTCATTCGGGACGCCAGGAAAAAGAGGAGGAGAACCGTGGTAATCGTATTTTCGTTTTTTCCCGGAAAGGGCGTAGGCCCAGGGTTCTCTTTTAGTATGTAAACATATCCCCCCGTGCCCAACTTGAAGGAGGCCGGCGGATTCTTTCCCTGATAAATATCGAGGTCGAAGGAGGCCGGCGGATTAAAATTTGAGGATGTCTCAGGCGAAACGCTTGTTTTTGAAATCCCGATCGATAAATCACAGGGTGCGGGCCACCTCAGCACGACCACATCCCAGCACGACCACACCCCAGCACGACCACGCCCCAGCACGACCACGCCCCAGCACGACCACACCCCAGCACGACCACACCCCAGCACGACCACACCCCAGCACGACCACACCCCAGCACGACCACACCCCAGCACGACCCGATCGATAAATCACAGGGTGCGGACCACCCCAGCACGACCACACCCCAGCACGACCCCACCCCAGCACGACCCCACCCCAGCACGACCAGCACGACCACACCCCAGCACGACCACACCCCAGCACGACCACACCCCAGCACGACCCCACCCCAGCACGACCCCACCCTAGCACGACCACACCCCAGCACGACCACACCCCAGCACGACCCCACCCCAGCACGCACACCCCAGCACGACCCCACCCCAGCAAGACCACACCCCAGCACGACCACACCCCAGCACGACCCCACAGCACGAGCCCACGCCCCAGCACGACCACGCCCCAGCACGACCACAGCACGACCACCCAGCACGACCACCAGCACGCACGAGCACGCCCCAGCACGACCACAGCACGAGCACGCCCCAGCACGACCACGCCCCAGCACGACCACCACGCACGACCAGCAGCACGCAGCACGCAGCACGACCACACCCCAGCACGACCACACCCCAGCACGACCACACCCCAGCACGACCACACCCAGTCGCACCCCCGTGGAATGTTTCGTGGGGTGTCTGGTTGAGTGGTTGCCTGTTCGTGGGGTGTCTCGTGGAATGTTTCACGGGGTGTCTCGTGGAATGTTTCGTGAGGTGTCTCGTGGGTTGTTTCGTGAGGTGTCTCCTGGGATGTTTCGCGGGGTGTCTCGTGGGATGTTTGGTGAGGTGTCGCCCAGTTGGATATCGTGAAAACGTGACCATGCTGCACATGTCTATATCCCGTTCCGGGTTCGTGGGTCCATCATGTTTCTACAACAGAACAGAGACGTATTCAGGTCAGCTTGGTTTCCGACCCAGACAATTTTGCATTGAAGTTTGTCAACCCCATTCTTTTCTAGTGCAGCCTAACAGCCTTCACGAGTGGGGCAAGCGGATCCCTGTAAACCACCATCGCGGGTGTAGGTACAATGACATGTTCCAAGCAGTGGTTGTCGCACGGCCCCTAAGTGGGGGTCCGCGGCTTCTCAATTGCTTTGGGTTTCTCCGTGCTCTGATGGCTTCCTCTGTCGAGTACACCGAAGCATTTTGTAGTTTTGAAGTTGCCTGTTTTCGGGCTGCGACGGCACATTTCAATGGTATCTCTCCCGTGTCTCGCCTCACTATTGCGATGACAAAGGCATGAATTCTTTGCCACTGGTACGTATCATGCTTCATCCCAGGACCGAGGGAGTGCCAAGCCAGTCTTCGCAGTCACTAGTCAGTTGGGCTCACGAGGTATCTCACTGTTGCTCACTTGTGCCAGGATAGCCAATCTTCTTATAACCTAGGCAGATGGGAGCCACAACATCGCTCTGCCCAGGCAAGTACGATTTCAATGCACAGGGGCGGTGGTTGCAACATCGAGCAATTTGTCTCATGTTGGGGATGCTTCGGTCGGCGGCCAGCGCGCTCGTGGAACGGGCCGATTTCTGCCATATTCGAGGCCCCGTTGGGGCCCAAAACCCTCGTGCTGATAATCTGTGCTGATCTCCTCGTCCGGTGCTCCGTCCATCCCTGCCGTGCCGGCTCTCCGATGCGCCCCGCTCCTTTCCAGCAGAGATGTCACCTGGTATAATACCGCCTCGCAGCAGTCCAGCCGCGAAGGCTGCATCTGGCGCGCAGAAAATGACGGATGCGTTTGCCCCGCGCTGCTCGCACACCTGGATTTGGCGCCGGGCCCCTCGGATCTCGGCGTCGCATTTTTTCACAACGGGCGATTTTGCCCTGCTCAGGGCCCTGGGACCCTCGCGGGTCGATCTGGCCAGGAAGCTGCAAGAGACAGATGGGGCCCAGGGCTTTGTTCGAGTTGTCGTTTTTCGTGACGGTGGGTCCTTTCAGAAGTTGTGGTGATCGTGACTCTCCTCATCGAATCGTTCACCCCTCGTTCACGGCCATGTCGTCTCGAAGATACGAATACTTATGAGGAAACCCCTGGAGGCTTCGCGCGGCTCGCAACAGCCGTATTTATCTGGTCGACACACACACACACACACGCCCCGCAGGACATGGGGGGGCACTTTTCGACGTTTGCCCGACGTGGATCCGAGTGATCTGACGTAGGCCCGACATGCACTGGGCCTCCACGCCTCTGTTCCTCCTCAGAATGCCTGGCGCACTGGCCACACTTCACCAGCCTCGAACGTATCCCTATCCCTAAGATTGACACGCTAAGAGGAGATGACAATCTTAGGGATGCACCCTCAGAAACTGAGGAAATCCCTAAGATCGCCATCGTGACGAGGCGATGCCCAACATAAGGATAGGGATTTGGTCCAGGCTGGTAAACATTGGAGAAACTTCAGGCTACCACCGTGCATCGTGTGTTTGGGGGGCGCGCCCTTCGGACCAGGCGGGAGGTCGCGCTGGAGGCCCATCGGAGGCGCCCAGAGGTCCCCACAGAGGCTCCCAGACGCCTCGGGCCTGAGAGCTCCACCCTCGAGCTTCGACGGCCGAGGAGGAGAAGGCAGCGAGTGGGTGAGCGAGGCTGGTCGCGAAGCGAGTCGAGGCTGACACCTTCGAGCGACCGCGAGCGAGCAGCTCGGCTTTGCTGAGAGCCTTCGGCCAACGATCGGACTCGATCCGATTCCAATGCCCGCGTCGCTTCGCGCTCGTGGTCTCAAGCAGCCCCCGAGGTGGGGCACAGGGGGGTGCCCGCCCGCTCTTCCAAGAGCCGCTCGGAGCGCCGCGTTTCTGCCCCTCTCGGCTCCTCCTCCTCCTCCTCCTCCTCCTCCTCCTCCTCCTCCTCCTCCTCCGGGGGGCGAAGGAGGGAGAAAGGGTCCTGTGCGCTTTTCATTACCAGGCTCTGCGGTGCACGTGAGGTTGAGAGATCGGCACTCGGTATCGATGCAGATTCAGTCAGTCAGTCAGTCTCCTCCTCCTCCTCCTCCTCCTCCTCCTCCTCCTCCTCCTCCTCCTCCTCCTCCCCCGGCGCGCTCTCGCGGGCCTCAGGGCCGCCACAGAGCGACCTCGGGAGGAAGGCCTGACCTGGGGGAAAGCCGTGGTTGGAGAAGGAAGAGCCCCCCATACCGCTGCTGCCCTTGCCGTGTTCTGCCAATTGTCGGAGGAGAAAGAGGTACCCTCAAGTCGGGCCTGTCCCTCTACAGTTGTGGAGGACGATCAATGGAGAGAAGCATGCTGCCAAATAATTTCCAGATGCCTAACAATGTTTCAAACATACTTTAATCATGTGAAAAAGCATGATTCAAACATTGTCATGGCATGTTCTTACATGTTAAGCACATGTCTAATTCGATGATAGGTTAGGGTGTTCATGGTCGTGGCATCCACAACTCTACAGGAGGAATGTTCAGACATAGTAAAAACATTGTCTGGGGACGATGTTTGGAATATGCTTTAACATGTTGGGGGTATTTTGTGTAACTATTCTTATTGTTCGTTCATAATCCCCCTGTAGGGGGACAGGCCCGACCTAATGGTACCCACGTCGCTGCCCTCGCCTCGCCCTCCCCTTGGCCGGAGGAGGAAGGCGCACCCAGACCGCTGAATGTCGGGGCGTGCAGTATTTTTCGGGGCGCAAGTGTATTGCTGCATTTTTCGCGTACAATGCATCACTGGCGCAGTACAATGCAGTCGAATTCTCCGGCACAATACAGTTGCAATACACTTGCCCCGAATGTATTGCACCACCCCCTTTCAGCTGGACCCCCTTTTGGGTCACCCCAGCAGCCGCGCGGCAGGGGCACCCTGCCGGGTGTCCCCCCACCTTGGGATCCAGGACCCGTCTCGCCCTCGGGGGGCCGCCTCTCCCTCGTGTCAAGTCGGGCATGGCCCGCCCTCCCTCTACAGGAGGAGTTCTCAAAAACAGTCAAACAATAGTATAGGGGACGATTGTTTTGAATGTGCTTTGCCTCATGCCGCCGGCCCCCTGTCTCGGATAATGGGAGATGCAAGAGCTAAATCATAAGGTCTGGGCGCCGCCCTGAAGCAGTGTCGGGACCTGTTTGTTTTTCGACCCTGACCCTACGGATCTGCCTCACGGGTGCCACCGAATTTCAGAAACGTGGCAAATCCCTTATGTTTTTGGACCCTGACCCTAAGGATCTGCGTGAGAGGGGCCGCCGAATTTCAGACATGTGGCAACTCCCTTGTGTTTCTTGCACCCTGACCCTGCCGATCTGCGTGAGGGGTGCCGCCGAATTTTAGAACTGTTTCAAATCCCTTGTGTGTTTTTGCACCCTGACCCTGCCGACCTGCGTGAGGGGTGCCACCGAATTCCAGAAATGTGGCAAATCCCTATATGTTTTTGGCCCCTGACCCCGCCGATCTGCGTGAAGGGTGCCACCGATTGTCAGAAATGTAGCGCATCCCCTGTGTTTTTGCACCCTGACCCCGCCGATCTGTGTGAGGGGTGCCATCGAATGTTCGAAATGTAGCAAATCTCGTGTGTTTTAGACCCTGACCCCGCCGATCTGCGTGAGGGGTGTTAGCCAATTTCAAAAATGTAGACATCGTCTGTGTTTTTGGACCCTGACCCCGCCGATCTGCGTGAGGGGTGCCACCGAGTGTCAGAAATGTTGCAAATCTTGTGCTTTTGGACCCTGACCCCGCCGATCTGCGTGAGGGGTGTCAATTTTACACCCCAGCAATTCAGAGCACACGCTCAGGGCGTGGTAAAAATATCCGATTTGGGCCTCCCCTCCTCGCGCGGTCCATCAACAAGGAACAGTAAGCAGCAAGAAGCAGAATTGTAACAGTGGAAACTGGAAGTTGCAGCTGGCACAGGAAACTGCGAAGCTTCGGCCTACAGCCTGGTGGCCCCACAAGGGGGCCGGCGGATTTTTGAACATGCGTCGAGTACTTTTTATTTGTCGTCCAAAATCAGCCTATGGGGAGGGACATGTCTGCCACGCGTAGAGGGGGGTGGGGGGAGAGGGGAGGGCTTCTTAGAAGCACCCCTGCTTCTCAGAAGGCGCGGGCATCATCTGTGGATGTACGGCCGGCGCCTTCTAAGAAGCAGCCTCTTTCTAAGAAGCCCTCCCACCTCCCTCCACCCCTTTGGAGAACTTCTGTTTTGGATCAGCGATAACCCGGGTTATCCGTGGTGGAGGGCGGGGGAGGAGAGGGCCAGCCGATCAGCTAACCTTCGCGCCGTGGGCAGCCTTGCATATGCCCGCGCCCCCACACCCTGGACCTGCACAACCTTCAGGGTTAGCTTATCCTGGGGGGGGGAGGCGGGGCAAGCCCGATCACCCGGGTTATCGCCAGACAGACCACGAGGATTAATCTCCTGTGCGCACCGCCGAGCATGCCCGACCTAGCACTTGGGGTCCAGGACCCGTCGCGCCTTCCGGGGGGGGCCGCCTCGCCCTCGTGCCAGTGCGCGGCCGCGCGCAGGAGGGGGGGGCAGGGGGGATCAAGCAGTGGCGAAGCGTCCTGGCGTGCCTATAGGCCTACCAAACAATGTTGTAAGAACCGCTTGTGGTTTCCACGAAATGTTCTTAGAACATTTCTGGCGGAGACTGCCTTGTTTTAACACATCGGGTGAATGTTCTAAGACCATTGTTTTTGTTATTAGAGCATTTTTGGGTTCGAAGAACAGTTCGTGGTGGGGCTGTAGGAATACCAGCACGGTCGGTCCCTGCTCAAGGGGAGGCGCTCTAAGAGCAATTCGGGCCTGTCACGTTGCAGGAGGAGTGCAGTGCAAGCCCGTGCCAAGAAACACCCTGCTCGCCTCCAGGGTGCCCTGGATGTCTTGGGTTTCGATGGTTTAGCGGTGCAAAGCGCGACGTTCCCACGCCAAAAATCGATGGACGTCCTGGGTTCTCAGGGCTGGGTTTCTTGTGGGAGGTTTCTTTTGGACTGGCCTCCACTGCATTCAAAAATGTTAAAATTTTCCCAGTGCGACCCTACCTAGGAGTTGGAGCATTTAGGAAAGCAACATATACATCTACCCCGACAGCTACACGTACATCTACACTTGCAGCTACATCTACATCAACATCAACCACGAGACCCACATCTACATCTACATCTACATCTACACCTACGCTCGACTTTGCTGTGTTGTGCTATGCTATGCGATGCTATGCTATGATGCGCTATGCTATGCTATGCTATGCTATGCTATACTATGATGCGCTATGCTATGCTATGCTGTGCT